GCGTCGTGGGTGATCCTTTCGTGAAGGCGAACGCGTGAGGATGTTCGCCGAAAATTTCAGAGACTCTATATATCATCCACCTTACACAATCTATCCTCTACACAATGCGCGCGGTGCATGTATTTCGTGGTAGTTTCGTAGCATGCCTGCACGTGGTGGTTTCGTCGCAAATACCTGTTTTAGACGTATGTACGTATACGTTAGTCACTATACATACACGCCCCCCTACACCTTATCTCCTTCGCGTGTACACACGAATTATACTCGCGTCGCGAAACTCCTGTCCCGAGATCGACCCCGACGTCGGCAGGAATCTCGATGCTCACGAGGCGCCCGAGTCACGCGTGCGTTCTCTCGCAAGATTTCAAGTCGCATAATCGTGCCTAAGCATTGCAATTATCAACTATTAACCCGCCATGCGGCGTTACAGTGGTGCTCGTGCCTATACGTTCTTACTCTGATCGCCACGAGATCAATCGGGAAAATTATAACAACGAGGTGAAAATAAGATTACGGTATTTTGCAACGCACCGAATAATAATTACTGTTGTAAAATAATGACCATAGCACATGAACGGTCACCGCCAATTTATTAAAAATTAATGACTATTATTTTCAGTCATTGGAAGATATAGCAACGTGTCACGATTTTATCCTAAAAATTGCGCGACAGATCTCGTAGGAACCTTGTGATTTTTTAATAATTCACACAGAAGAATTAGCTCAAGAATCTGTGTGTGGGAACTAAATCTCGTAACATATGAACATCTAAAAATATAGTTGCCTGTAGGCATACGTTTAATTATGAAATCAATGTTGAGTACATTGTGAGAGAAAAAATATTTAAGAAATGAAAAAATATTTATTAGCAGTAAATACTACATACAGGGTGTCCCAAAACTACCTCCGAAACTCTCGTAGGTACAGTACGGATTAAGATGAACATAAAAGTCCGTTTTGCGATATTCGCAACAATTGTCGAGATATTAATTAAAGCAGGTTTGATCATGCGAGATGAGCTGTAGTGGTGATATTTGTCGTCGTGTATTTATACATTAAGCCAATCTAAATAAAATAGTCCTATATTTCTTTTAATAACTTTGTAGATTTTTAGTAGTTATTAATTAGAGAACATTAATATATTCTCGCAAGCAACTATCCACCAATTTTGCTTAATTAATAATTAGAAATATACAAAGTTATTAGGAAGATGATAAAGAACTGTTCAGTTTGACCTAATGCACAAGCACACGATGGCAGACGTCGCTACCACAGCTCATTTACCATATCTCGTCTAATTATTTACAAATCTTTTTAAATTAATATCTCGATAATTAATGCGATTATTATCGATAATTATCACAAAATGATATAGGATTTTTATGTTCACTTCAATCTATACTGTGCTTCTACGAGAGCTTCAGAAGTTATTCTGGAATATTCTATATATAATGTAATGTATGTTTACCTTTAAATTCATATAAAACATTTTTAGAACAAATAAGATAACATACATTTTCTTAAAACCTTACATTGAAAAAAAATACTTGAAAATTTATTTGGGATACACAGTTCATTTCCGTTTAATAAACTTTTATCTCATAAATAAATTTTCAAGTATTTTTTTCAGTACAATTTTTCATGAAAGCAATTGTGTTTATTATATTTCAGTAAAAGAATTCAGATTTATATATTAAAATTAGTAGCCATTGAATAAATATATTTTATTCTTTAAATATTTTTTCTCTCAGTGTAACAATAGTAGTAAAAATTTAGTAACAACAAATACATTTTAAACAACAAACCATGATTAGTAAAAAATTTTTTCTTTTTTGGTATAATCTATGACTAAAAGAAAATCTATCTCACAGAATTCTTGAATTATAATTTAATAATGATTACAACGAGGTAATCAGTCATTGTTGAAATTGACAATGAAGTGAAACAACTTTACGAGAGGTTCGTACGAATTTTGGATATAATTATCTTCGGAATTTCTTGCTGTAACAGCAAGACGATTAAGGAACTTCAACCTCAGATAATAAATCTGCTCGTCTATTTCACTCGAACGCGTGCTCGTGCTCCTCGGCTCAGTACTCAAACTTTCCCAACCGTCCGAATAAACCTTTCGGCGAAATCGGTAGTAGAGTAATTTAAAGGGTTCGTGACATTGCCGACGAGTTTATACCGGCGCCATAACGTATTACTTGCGCAGCGGGTGATAATGTGCCGCGGATATATTTTAAGGTCTTCAGTTCTCCACACGCGGAAGTTATTTCTTTTGGTAGGGAAGCACTATCACACGTTATACCTATGTCGACATTATTTTCATCGTGACTGCTATGACAAAGCTTAGCATTCGCCCCTTATAATATCATAATAAAGAATTTAATATATTATTATATATTATTATATATTTAATAATTAATAGTTTATTTCGCGCACGGTAAACGCCATAGTTTCATGACCGCTGCGAATTAAAATGAAAATCTTCCTAACAATCTGACTCGAATTTGCTTAATTATTTGTTGTACAGTCGATTTTTACATTTATCTGAAGTGCATAAGAAAAGTCATTCGACGCGCCAATTAACTTTCAACAATCACCGTATGTCACAAAAGGCTTGATTGACTCTTTAAGTGAGACGTTTAAATTTTTTATCGTTAAATTGTTATAGACAAATAAAAGTAAAAACAGCAATTTTTTCAAACAAGAATTAGACATTTAAAACTAATTGTTAAGAATCGACACATCGAAATATTAACAACTTTTAACGTAAAATCAGAACAACAGTATTTTATACTTTTTTCCAAGTTTTCTGTAAATTCTACTTTCATAATAAACCATTGAAATATTGATAATGTTTTATTAGGATTCTCTCTCGGGATATATTTTGAATAAATTTGATTTGCTTATGATGAACTTATAATAGATTTGCGGATACATAAATTTATGAGATACTTAGAACAAGTAACATTTATCTGCAGTATTATTGAATTATGTATTGGATTATAAATAATTTTTCATCTTTTAGATTAAATATAATGATTATATTTTTGTGTTATTATAATTTTATAAATGTATAAAGGCATAAGAAGATATAAGAAGGTCATAGATCAAAATGACGCCCACATTGTTTCATTAAAATTATAACGATTTAAAACTACAATCGTTTCATTTTATCTGAAAAATTACCTATGACACAATCTAATATTTTTCTCTGTGTATGAAAACGAGATTACTAATGTTGAAGACTCACGGTCGCCACACCTCATTTCGAATTTCGACTTGTTGACCTCAGGTTCATAATCAGCGATCAGCTACAGCCAAATTCGCAAAAAAGATTCCACCGATAAATGAAACGTATGGCTCAAAAGTTTAACGAAACTTAATTTGATACCAGGACTAAGCCTTCCATATTTAATTTGACAGCGAGAGGTCTCGGGAACGGTACTAACCGCGCTCTCTCGTCGATCACGTTTTACTCGAAGTCGGGCTCGCTCGAGTTGCTCTACACGTCGGCCAGGCTCGTTCTATCATGCCAGGGTAAACGCTCTTGCGAGTGTGAAACCCAATGATGGAGCGCCCTACAGAGCTCTCGAAGTTGCCGTCGCAACTTCGGACTTTATAGCCGCGCCGCGCCGAATTAGCCTCGCCTCGTTTCACAACGTGGGGTCAAGTAGAACTCCGGAGGAGGTCTGGATGGAGGGTCACGTAAGCGTTAAGTGGCCGATTTCACATGTTACGATAACCGCGACGAGCCGCCTCGATAAGCCTTCGAAGGTGCCTGTCGACGTTCGCGATCCTGAACGTGTTTCCTTTTCCCGTGAGTACCCGCACGCGTATCTCCTCCGATCGACACGTTACGTTTTCCCCGTTTAAAAGGACGACCATCGCGCTGATGGCTCCTCACTAACACATGTCGCATTACACACATTATAAACCACGATCGTCAACCATCGCCGCGCGATCGTGGACTAGCCCATTCTTCCTTCCTGCAGGAAGACGCGAAACGCGCTTTCTCAGTCTCTCGAGATTTCGCCTCGGTTCGACACGTGAGAAGAACGAGGACTAACGTAGCGTTTCAAATTAGCTCCCGCTTTTCTCTTCGCGTATTGTTCGGCACGAACCGCGAATGTATTTTCAGTATTTCTAACGATATATTCACACGTCGTTGATCGGAGATTAAATTTAGCCGCCGAGAAAAACACGCCTCGCACACGGGGGTTATCGCTATTTCTATAATGCTTTTCTCGCGAACAATCTTTATCGGATATGTTCCAGGGAAATTCTTATTTTAAAACGCTACTGGTGATATTAAATATAATGGTCCAGATATATTAGTAGTTTCGTTCGCATATGTTTTTATTAGAAGTTTATCTGTAACAACGACTTATGAAATTTTCCTGTTAGCCGGCAGAAATTGCTAGTTAGACAGGAAAAAAGGTAAAAAAAAATATGATCTAAAAAATAAAACAAGTATTTATTCGGTGGAGTACTAATAACATATTTATTTGACTCTAAATCCTTTTATTTAAATAGAATAAACAATTGTTTTTATGAAGAGGTTCTAAAGAAATGTATATCTTCTTATTTGAGAAATATTTTATACTTTAGTATAAATACTTTATAATATAATAAACCGTTAAGTGTAAGTACTTTAGTGTATAATAAACTTTAGTATAGTAGAAAAATATTTTATTTTAATATAAGTATGTGTGTGTGTGTGTGTGTGTGTGTGTGTGTTAGTACCTATTGAATAAATATTTTCTTCTCTTAGCGTAGTTAAACAGAAATAGCGATAACTCGGCGAGCATTATATACCGCGTGTTTGTCAGATTCTAAATTAACATAAATAATAAATAATAAATAACATAAATAATAACGAAAGACAACAAAATACGAAAGTATCGAAAGGCTCACGTGAATCCTCGTATTTCTCTAATGTCTATGTGAACACAAACGACTTCCAGTCTAATAAGTCACCTGTGTCGTACCAGGACTTTACGTTGGATTTTTACTTCCGACAATTCTGGAAGGACCCGCGACTCGCGTTCAAGCAGCGAACAGGCGTCGAGACGCTCAGCGTCGGCTCCGAATTCATCAAGAATATCTGGGTACCCGATACCTTCTTTGTCAACGAGAAGCAGTCGTACTTTCACATCGCTACCACCAGCAACGAGTTCATTCGCATTCATCACTCAGGAAGCATCACGCGTAGCATACGGTGAGTAGAAACATTTATACTTGAATCTGTCGCAGTCGCACTCGAGTTATGTGGTAAATACTTGAATGTTTAATATCAACGAAACGTCGGATGTTCATTGTGTGTACTTGAAGCGCATTCTCTTTTTGCGCCAACGACAATATTTAATTTACATAGCGCAAAGTTTAGAATTTAAAAGAACGGAAATACCCATCTTACGACGGACAAACGACATATAAAGGTCAAAAGGCCTTTCCGTTTAGCAATATTGAGCCGGCTAACCAGGTTTCATCCCGAAGTGTTACTTCCACGGTCAGGTCGCTCATGGTATTTTCCATCGCGACTGTAAATCAAGCCCAATGTCCTCCATCACCATAGAATATTCGTGGCACTTCTGGGACCAATTGTGCTCGGCACGACAAATTTGTTCCCTGTAGCGGTTTCCACCCCTTCTTGCCTGACACAGGTCGTATCATTCCTCGTATCTACCCCCTTCTCTCTTATTCTCTCTCTCTCTCTCTCTCTCTCTCTCTCTCTCTCTCTCTCTCTCTCTCTCTCTCTCTCCCTTGCTCTCTCTTTCTTTCTCACTCTCTTTCTCTGTCTTGAGCACCCGGGAATACTCTGGTATTAACGCGCCGGCTATATTCAGACGATCCATGCATACCTAACTTGCGCTCCCTCGCAATATCGTTCCATTATATTACATCCTCGACTTCCGGATCGGAACTGCCAAATCGAGCCGTTCTCTGTCGGGAACGGTGGAAGAATATCGATGAAGCAGAGAGAGAGAGAGGAAGGGAGAGGAGAGAGAGAGAGAGAGAGAGAGAGAGAGAGAGAGAGAGAGAGAGAGAGAGAGAGAGAG